GTCCATGAAACAGACTCAGCAACCACAGAATGGATGCATGCCTCCTTACATCAACAAACAGAAAAGATGACGGCAAAATGCTGTTACTAAAGGAACACTTGAAGATAAGCTTCATTATTTGTTTAGTTGTTTATGGAAACCATTGTGCCAGTACTTGTTTTTTCTTTTCCTCATAACACTGGGAGGATCCTCAATGTTTGGGAAAAAAAAAAAAAAAAAAGGCTGTGATGATGTTTTGATTAAAGTGTAAAAAATAAAGGAGAATGGACTCTAAAGATTGTTACCAGCTCTGCTTTTTTATGGTCCTGTATCTTCTGTGGTTTCTACTTCTGCTCTCTTCTTTATAATTTTTTGTCACTATTTATGGTTCTTTCTTCCTGTTATAAATAAACAAACAAACAAACAAATAAATAAAGATAAGCTGTAGGTGCAGCAAACACTCCCCAGCAATGTTTAGATCAGAAAAAGGAGCTCTTCCATCTCTCAAACTGCGAGGATAATTTAGCTTGCTTGTATTAGAATTGATAGATCAACTGTTCAGGGGCTTGCGTTCTTTCTCTTATTTCTCACTGTTCCATCTCCATTTCCCAAAATACTGTGCCTTCTTCCTGTAATTTGCCAGCTCTTTGAGCTCCAAGTTGTCTGCCCTTTGTGCCTCTAACACTTAGGATGCTTCCCCACTTCCTCTCCAGTTATTCAGTTTGTTCTTGCATTTTCTTACTTTCCTATCACTGCCTTCTGCCTGCCATTTTCCTCCACACAAAAATACCTTTTCTGCTTTTAAAGTAATTAAATTAGCAGAGCTGATTGAAAACTAGGTGAAGTAATTCTCTGAGCACTGTGCTTTTCAATGGATGCATTACTCAATGCACATTAGCTAACCTGTAGTCGTCAGTGAATGACAGAAATTAATATTTGATTAATATATTCAACAACAATGGCATTATTCAAACACTTTACTCAATAAAGTACATTCAGCACACTCACAAGTTAATGGTGCATTCAGGTTACTCTGTTTGCTCAGCAGAACACGTGCAGAACCCCAAGAGGGAAAATCAAGTCACTGATACATGTGAGGGAAAAAGGGTGGGAAGCCTCTTCTGGTCATTTGTGCCTTTCATGAGCAGGACAAAGTGTATGTGTATTGTTTAAATCCCGTATAGGGAATAAAGGATATATGTGATGAGGAAGAGAGATTATTTGCTCTATTTCCTGACTGACAGATCTTGTTTTCATGCTTATCACTCACACTTCAGCTAGAAATGAGAAAAACAAATCAACATATTTCTAATCTTCAGTTTTTGATCAAACTGGGGTGTGCATGTGTGTATTTAGCAGAGGGTTGAATGAAGTAAATCTAACCCCAAATCCCTGGTTTTTACTTCTTGCTCCATTTAATGTTTCCTTGAGTACTTGGTGCAAATAACCTATCTTCTACTGTTTAAGACTCTCTAATGTAATTTCTTTGTAATTCCCAGTAGCGATCAAGTCTATTTTGTGGTCTGTATGTCCACAGTGCCAAAGAGGTCCTCCTTTAATGCTTTTATAACTTTTTAAAAACTTTGATTAATTTCATTTTTAGCTTCAGCATTGGACATTACCCTGACAAAATTGATGTCATCTACATTTCCCACAATCTACTCAACTTTTTTTAGCTAGCTTCCCTTCTTGACTCCCTTTCTTTCTTTCTGCACAAAATGAATCTTCCCCAGATTCTAAGGCTGAAATCTCTCCTTGGCTGTAAGGATTTGGATCACTTTTCCTCTCTTGTCCTTAGATTAGCGAGAATATAATTTTGCTAAAGCATCATGCCCTGACACTACTCAGCATCTTCTGCCATGTGTACTTCCACTTCTTGAAGTGTTACAAAATACTACTGCCATATTTTTTCTACTGCCCAGCTATGCGCTCACTAGATGATTTTTCTTTTTTTGTTGTCTGAATCCTCACCTTCCTCTGAATTTTATACAGCCCACTTAATGTGTCTTCTCTAGCCTGAGCTAACTTGACCCCTCATCAGTCTTGTGCCTGTGCTGTCCCATAAATCATTTTTCTCTTGTTTACCTGTTCAGTAACTCCTTGTCTTTGAAGTCTGTTTTATTTTTCCATTCCATATGTTCTTTCTTTGCAATGCTTCAGTGAATTAATTGTATCTTCAAAGGATGCAAAAGCATCAGTTGACATCCACATCTATAGCAACAGTGGTTATAAAGCAAACATAACCTTTCCAAAGCACACTTGCAGCTCCTTTGAACAGGGGAACTATGCTAGTTACAAACAATACCACAAAAAAGGCTCTGTGGCCCTTTAGGTTTGAAGTTGAAGGTTGTTTTCTACAGCCATTTCTCATTATCAACTTAAGGCTAAAACTGGAAAAGAAATAACCAAAGTTCTGCAGACCTCTGGCTGCAGAAGCACTGTGGGCCACAAGACCTACCCTGCAGTCCTTCAATAAATTTCAGTTTCTCTTCAACAGAGCACACAGACCAGGAACCACTTTCAGTTCTGTGGAATCCCTGATGCCTTGTTACTAAACATCTAGGTAACAGAATGTGTTGCTCTCTTTCAAATTAGCTTTGCAGGAATTTCATCCATCCAGTCTTCTGTCTGATTAGAATTTGCCCCTTGCTCAGGATCTGTTGACTTTAGTCAAATACTTGATCCCTGTTTTCTTTGGTCAGGACTTCTTATTCTGCTTTATATTGTTCTTGTCATTGTGGGATTGGCAAAGAAAGTGTAAAGTTGTTCTTTTCCCATCCCTCTTGCTGCTCAGTTAAGGAAACAGCAGCTCAGCTTTGGGAAAAAGAGTAAATTTCTCAATCTATATTTAGGTATAACCATGGCCTGATTTCCACCACTGTTGGTTCCCACTGATCTTGGTGACCCAGCATGTCTTTCATTTCTGTTCACTGGGAGGCTCAGAACTGATTTACACCATGGTTGGTGTAACTCCAACCATGGATTGATAGATAAAATCAGGCTTTTTACATTAGAAAGGGATGATGCACTTATAGTGGCCATCAGCAAAAGCCCCCTTGCACTTGTCTTCTATGGAACAACAAAATTCAGGATACCCTCCAACAGTCCTTGTGCACATAGAAAGCCTTAGGTCTCTTGAGGTTTTCCTTCAAATCTCCAGAGATCAGCTAATCCACAAGATACAAATGAACATGCTAACATTGTTCAGTGAATACTTTGTTTCCTTGCCTGTGATTTATTACACAGTGGTGTGTTCATATTTGCTGTTCAGCTCCTTTGAGACTGTTGTGACTGTGTGTTGCTTATTTAGAAAGCATTAAAGCCCTGAAGCTCATGTCTTCAAAAGTTTTATTAAACTTCTACTTGAACTCTGTTTCCAGACGTGGAAGACATAAATAGCTCTTTAATGAAAAAGTAACCACGTTGCCAAACATATTTAAAAGCATAGGAGCATATGTCTGAAAGGAGATAAGCTGGTATTTCCCTGTTATCTTTTTTATCTGCAGCATAAAGGAGTAGCTTGGTAACCATTTTTGGCAGTATAAATCAGGAATGTATAAATTTCTGCAGGTGTCCTTCAGCTCCTCAAGCTAGTGCTCAGCTCTAATGGTAGCAATGCAGGAATATCCAAATAACCTTACTTCCCAGCAGAAGCCTGACCATAGGCAGAGGTCATGAAGGGCTGGAAAACTGAGGGACAGCAAAAGAAGCACTGAGCTTCCCATCTGTGTTGAGCCTTATAGAATCACAGAATCATTTAGCTCAAAAAAGACCTCCAAGATCGAGTCCAACCTTTGACCAGTGTTCCACCACATCAACTAGACCATGGCACTAAATCCAATCATTTCTAGAACACCTTGATGTGATGGTGACCCCATCATCTCCCTGGGCAGCCCATTCTAATGCCTGAATACCTTTTCCATGAAGCTTTGTGATGCTCTGGCCTGATTACTCCTCAAACTTGCAAGCAGATGAACTTTTTCATTCCATCAGCAGTACATGCAGCTACGGCGGTGTCAGTGGGATTTGTGTGTGCCACTGCAGCCACAGAGGGGTACATTTTCTCTCCTGCTGGGCAGAACTTGCAGGAGCAGAAGATGGAGAAGATGGGATGAGGACATCAAATGACAAAACACAGATTCTGATTTCCCTTCTCACCTCATGTTTTCCAGCCATTCTGTGTGTTGGGAATACATCCACTTTTTGCTCTTACAGAGCAAATCAGCTTGATACCCACAGTCAGACCTGGAGATGGGGCCAGATGCAAAGGTGACTGTATATTCTTGGTGGCTACACCAGGTCTTCTTTTGACTCTGATAAATCTCACTGCCAGTGGTTCCTTAGGCAGCTTTTCCAAAAGAAGTGTTCTAGAGTCAGGAGAGGGGAAGACTTGTACAGATAAGAAACTGTAACACACACACACACACATATGCAGACATATTTGGGAGTAATGGTAAGAAATACAACAAATAAAATCCAGTGAAGCAGGAAATTATTTAAAATATTGCACAAGTTTATCCAGAAGTTGACCACAGACAAAAAGCAATCAATTTGCATTTTTGTAGTCAGCTTAGTATGGGACACTTGGCTCCTATGCATAAATTTGAAAGTGAAATCTGACTTGACTGTGTGTAGTATTTGCATAACTGGCAGGGCTAAGTTGAGTGTAATTCAGTGGTAGTGTTGGCCTGAATTTGCCAGAGAAAGCCCTACCTGACAGTCAGGAGACACTCAGGAAGAACAGGCACATTTCTTACAAAGGACAGCTTAACAGAATAATTAGACTTCAGCCTAATTGACAAAATTATTTAAACAGCTAATAAATTTTGTTAAATAGCCTCAGAATGTATCAGAATTATTAAATTATCAGAAATAAGAATGGCTTATTCTTATTTAAATGCTCAATAATATTAAATTACTTCTAAATGCTTAATAATTTGAAATTGTTTCAGCTACTTCACCCAAGAGGATGCATCTCTCTGATCTTGTGTTTCTTTAATACAGCATTTCCTTCTTTCCTTATGAGAAAAATGAGCTGGGTGTTCCTACGTGATCTGCTGAGTGGAGTGAATAAATACTCAACAGGAATTGGAAGAATTTGGGTAGCTGTGGTGTTCCTGTTCCGCTTACTGGTTTATGTTGCTGCCGCAGAAAATATCTGGAAACATGAACATGACGAATTTGAGTGCAACATCAAGCAGCCTGGTTGTGAAAATGTCTGCTTTGACCATTTTTTCCCTGTCTCTCACATCAGACTTTGGGCTCTGCAATTAATCATGGTCTCCACCCCTTCAGTCTTGGTTGTCTTTCATGTTGCTTACAGAGAAAACAGAGAGAAACACCACAAGCAGAAACTTTACAAAAATACAAGAAAGACAGATGGTGGATTGCTGTGCACTTACCTTATCAGCCTCATTTTAAAAATAGGACTTGAAATATTTTTTCTTGTTCTGTTCTATAAATTGTACAATGGCTTCAAAATACCACGTCTTGTGAAATGTGACATAAAACCATGTCCCAATAGTGTAGACTGTTATATTTCCAAACCCACAGAGAAGATGATTTTCCTCTATTTTCTGGTGGCAACTTCATGCCTGTGCATCATATTAAATCTAAGTGAACTGAGTTATCTTCTGTTCAAATACTCCATAAAATGTTATCTGAAGAGACACGTAAAGAACAAGCAAGGCTCAAAAGCAATTGCTGCGAATCAGAACTCATCAGGCACAACAGAGCAGCAGCTGCAGGATAACTCCACAACAGCTCATCATCTTTGCCTCTGAATATGCAAGATGAACATGAAAAACATTCCCTGCTGACTTGAAAGAAGGCTGAAGATCACCCTCCCATAACACAAGCTGGTTTTAACAAATTGCTTTTCCAATCAGTGCTTTGCAGAACTGTCCTTTGAAAGGATAGTTACATAGGAAATGCTGTTTCTCTGTTAGTTCCCCATTACTTGAGCTGATAAATTCAGTTACATTATGTATGTTGAACATAGAATCATCGAGACCTTTTCATGTTCAAATAAGAAATGCAGAAGTTCTGAGAATTCCATGAAGCTTTAATATAAACACAGAAGCTTATGATAAATCATGCTGAAACAATTGTTCAAACAATTGTGCACTGAATTGCTTTGGTACAAGCAAAAATAGTATTTTTTTATGCAGAGATAGAAGAACCTGGGATTGATTAAGATGAACAGCAAGGGGTGTACAGGATTTGTCAGGTGGGTGGATCAGACCTGGTAAATGCTGAAATGGCAATAGGAAAGTGCTGGCACAGAGTGCTGTGCCTTGAGGTGAGCTGGATACTCACGAGTCCATTCCATTGTACTATAAAACATCTCTAAATAAAAAAAGAAAAAACAAGAAGAGGTAGACACATCTAGTTTAGCCCATGTGATAAAAACAGATTTGGTTATTTAGCTGTTTGTGGAGCACCTCCTTCTGAAATTATTTGAGCCCTTACAGCTGTTAGGGTGCTAATCATCAAAAAGCATCCTTGAAGAAAGGCACTTGCTCAAACTTGTGCAAGCAGCATGTACCAGGTTATAGAGTTAACTCCTGGTCACCTGCACCAAGCAGCTCCCGTGTCATTAGACTTGTCTTCTGCTCTGTGATAGTGGCATTTAAGTGAACAGATCATTCCCACTTCCCTAGGATCTGAATAGAGAAATTAAGACCACACAATACAGAACAATTGTCAGTAGTCCCTAGTATTAAGTAGCCTAGAATCTGGTCCCTTTTAGTAAGGCTGAAAATATGCTACTTCTTCAGTAAATTTCTCTGCTGCAGAAGAACACATGAAATCTAAAATTATGAAAAGCCTCCAGTAGAAACAAAGTAAAAAAAAATCACCTGTTCCCTCCCCCAAATTTCAAAGTATCTCATAAACAACACACATCTCTGCTCTTTGTTATCTGTGTTGTTTGGGCTGACAGGAAGGGGACAGGAATCAGCTAAGACATGTCTTCTGTCGAATCTAGCCTTCTAAGACAATGGAAAGCAGTGCCTTTAAAAACTTCCTTTGGGGTAGTGGTCTCTTTCTGTTGTTGGAATGAAAGACCTTTGGACATACATCTGGTACTGAGCCTGATTAAAATGCACTCTTTAGAGAAAAACATCAGCTGGAGTGACCTGAATGGTGAACTAATTTTATTGTTTGCATCAACATAAGGAGGAAGAAACAGTGGCAAAAGCAGGTTAACTAATTTTTTTTTCTCCGAGTCCCCTCTGGCCCATGGCTTTGGTTACAAAGCTTTACATTTAACGAGTAGCAGTTACAGAACATTACTTAGCAACTAATAAACAAGCTATAAACTTTTGATGGTGATTTTCAAGGTAGGGTTTGTTGTTTTTGTGTTTTTTTTTTCCCTAGAATAAACCTACTTTTATAAAATATGGGGCGACATTTGCTGCTGCTGAAATTAGCAGCAACAGCAGTCCCTCAAATACCAGCTTGCCAGCTTGTGGCCAGATAGTTTTAAATCTTGACTGATGCTTAACAGTGCTTATTTAGAGACAGGGCGCTTAATATAATTCAGAACATTTTCTGTTAAATTTCTACATATACAGAAAGTGGCCCATGACAGAAATGCAGTTAGAAAGTCTTTTGCAGCTCCTGGACAAAACCCATCAAAGATTCGGAAGCAAAACTTCCCATGAACCCTGTGAAACTGCAACTGCCACAGCTTAAGTAACTGAGAACAAACCCCAAAATTATCTTGGCCCATTTGGACCCTCATGCATTATTTTATTATGATAAGGGCAACACTGTCAAAGAAAAAAATGTTTCTGTAATATCTGGGTTTTAATAACTGTGGACAGATTTTTAAGAGCACATCAATGAAAAAATATTTATTCATTGTTTTTAAGGTAAAGGTTTATTTGATAGAAAATTAAGATAAGCAAGCACAGTTTAGCTAACACAGGTTTCTGATAAAATTAGTGCATTAGCAGCTCTCTAATAAAAGTTTATTAAGTCAGGGCTTGAAGGGTTTTAGACACCCCCTAAAGCTCTGTGGCTGGTCAGAGATTACCACTTAGACCAAAAATTTTCCCATCAAACAAGAATTCTAATTCTTTGGAATGGATATTCAAAGTTTTATTTTTAATTCTATCTTCCAACAGCCAAGAAATTATAAATAAATTCCAAAATAATGTTTTGAGTCTTGGAGGATACTTCAGATTTGACAAAGCCAGTACCTTACATGAGAAATACTTTGAAACAGATTATTATGGACCAACTCCACATAACCCAACTCATTCGCAGCAAATTACCAAGTAGCCTTCACATCATGTGCTGCAAAATTTGAGTACTTGACATGGCTACTAACGAAAAAGAAATGAGCATAACTTAACCTGAGAGAACAGAAACCAATTAATCTGCTTTCTGAACCCTTGCTCTTGGAAACCATTTGGTTTTCTACTGACTCTTTCCCTTGCCCCACTTTTACATGCTTTTGTTCTCCAGTTTAGGTTTCGCTCATCCATGCAACCCTGAAGGCATTTGCTGTTACATTTTTGGTTCAAATAAGTTTACAAGTTTGATCCCTAAACTTCTGAATCACTCAGACTAACATTTTAAAAAACTGAACTCAAGTGCTATGTTCTGCAAGGACATAAGCAATTGATAAGAAGCTGTTCTGAGCCCATACTGTAATGAAGAAATAACATAAACACTGCATGCACATTCATACAAAAATATTTACCTTATTAGTATTTCAAAACATCCCTGCAAACATCAAAAGATCTGTGTCTTACATAGACTCTCATTTTCCTTAAAATCCAAGTAAGCTTCTTGCCTTGGGACAGAAGAGGTTTGGAAAAAAGACACAGACAAAGAATTTCCCTATTTGCTGTTAGTTTCTTTCCTCTAACTCCCTTCTCCAGTACCAATGGCACCATTTCCTATCCCTTTAATTGCATCATCTCCATACCATCTCCAGGCAGGGCTGAGCAGCACATGAGCAGGAGCTTCTATAACTCGAGGACCTAACCAACCCCAGTGCAGCCTGTCCCTGCCCCTGTCCCTCTCTCCCCTGCACACAGGTGGGAGCCCCAATCAACTAATTCTTTGGCACAGAGATTAAATAGTTAGCCAACAACCTGCCTCTCACCTGACCCAACAACTAATTCCAATGTTATTTGTACAAGCATTGCTCACTTACTATCCACCATCCTAGACTGAATGTGCCAGCATTAACGCTCTAGAACCCACAGTCCCCCCATCCTGCTGAGAAGGACCACCCTGAAACATGTGGGGACAATCCCACTAATCTTATTTACACTGAATTAGGGCTCAGGTAATAGCAGATTTCTTTATAAACATAGTTGAGCACCAGAGGGATTGACTGTCACTTTAAAGGTGTCTTTTGATGACTGAACAATCCATGCTCTGCATTCAGACCCCTCAATTTGGTTGCTTCCCCATCAGCAACACCTGCTGCTTTAGTCAACACATTCCTGATGGCAACAAGGGGCTTCAAAGAAGCACCTTTGTCTGAATGCTCCAGTTAACAGTGACAATTCTGAAAGGCAGAGACATAGAGGAAGGGGAAAAGGCAGAAGGCAGAGGACTGGGCAATGGGGCCAACAGCACCTTGGGGCACCCCGCAGGCTGAAGTGCTGCTGGTACATCTGGCTCGGCCACCTCGGAGCCCCATCCCACCCAGCAGCCCCAAGGCAGGGGTGTTGCTTCAGGCCCCAGAGAAGCTGCCCATCCAGGTGTGCTACAACTGATAGGGTGGGAAGTTTTCTGTATCGCCCAAGGTAAAACATCTGAATGCAGACACCAAATTTACTTCCTTGGAAATTTCTGTAGGTGGCTTTACAAACCAGAGTGTCCTCTGAGTCTGTGACATTTTAAATCAGACCCTGCCTTTGGTACCCCATTTTAAGTTCAAAATACTCCTGTTTGTTTTTTAAAAAGCAAACAACAAACCCCATACTAGCTTGTATGTTGGACAGGCTGTCAGTAACCACCTAAAAGGGAGTGTGCCACTATATGGGTACAGAATCTGCTTTAACTGGATTGATTGGGATGATAGTATTAAATACTTTATTCTCAGAAATTCAGAACCAAATCAAAAATTGCTTCCTGGATATTTATGGCATTGGACTTTTTTATCCTTTGCTCTTTTTTTTTAAATAGCATTCTAGTGTAACACTGTGTAGCTAAATACTTGTATGCTATTCTCAGTCCAAGAACTGCAAATGATACAGTATCAATCACTGGGAAACTATTCAACTTACACAACACAAACATTCTTCTAAAGACTAACAGTTGTGAGGTCTGTTGACAGTGACTGAAGTGGTTAGGTACAGCTGAAAACAAGAGAATTCAGGTGAGCTTTGAGGATCCTCTCCAGAGGATCTCTGCCCTCTTCTCCCCTGCAGCAGTTCCCTCTACAATCACCGTGGCTGGTATCCAACAGCAGCTCCATCCAGGGGGACCAGCGGCCTCTGGCAGGTAGAAAACGGCACTGTGTACTTGCAATGATTATAATGACCGCTCTTAGAGTCAAAATGCAAGTGTTTGTTTTGGTTTTATAATTCTCAGACTGCACCTTTGATTTACTAACGTGGCATAGTAAGTTTGGTCACTTGGGAGGGATGGAAAGTGAGAGGAGCTGATGGGCTCTGTTCAAATGGAAGCACAGGCTTTCTGCGAAGGTAAGCAATTTAGCACCATGTAGCAAACCAAGGGCTGTGCCCGAGGTCAAATGCTGTTGATGTTCACACATAATCCACATTCTCGCAACAAGTCATTTCATTTGGTTGTAGGAAGGTGCCCTCTGCACTGATATTCAGGAAAACCGTCAGAGATTCCAGGTGAAT